CACATACGGAATCATGTAGTAACCAAAAAAAAGTGTTAAACAAATCAAAATATATATTTATACAGTACCATAGAGGCACAGAATAAGTTAGGGAAAAATGAATGGAGGAAAAACAATTACCCTGTTTGACCGCTAGGTTTTCTGGGTATTAGGACTCATTCTGTGGTACTCTATTGCTTACAGTCTTACACCTATGAAGTTATTTTAGATCTACACGTGCCTAGGGAGGAGGGGGCAGGGTTTCTTCTGGAAAGGGCCTAACTAGACCGGCTCCAGAGATATTATTAATATTATATTATATATTATAATAATATTATCCTTATAGGGACAGTGATTAGGGCATGAGTCATTGGTGCTGGTGGTTTGAGACCCGTTGGAGCAGTCAGCTTCTTCTTAGCAAAATGTGTTCATCTTATTAATTGGTTACAGTTACAAGACACCTATCTGATCTAATTAAAATGAGTTTCTTATTGAAAGATGGGAATCTGTAGGATTTCCACTTGAGCATGAATTATGACCACAGTTCCACTACCTCATACATTATAAGTATTAATTAATTCTATATAGCTGAGCAAAGATAACCTTTTTTCGTTCTGAAAGAGAACCTTATCATCTTTTTTTGAAAATCTAAACCACATTTAACATGTAGAACAAACGTGTCATTGAGAAACACATTTTGTACTTTTGCCAGGTAATGACATTAACATATATTGCTAAGAATGTGAAATGAGGGTGAGTACCTTTTCCCAAACTCTGTCCTGGGGCTCCCTTTGGTTGCACGTTTTGGTTTTTGCCCTTAGCACTACACCACTAGCACTGTCCCAATAAGTGATATCTCTAGGACACGTGCTTACTGGGCCAGAGGACAAGCCTGACCCCTCATCACTTGTGTAGATCTGGTGTAAGCAAATAAGGTTGAATGCACTTTGAAGGACATCTCAGCTTCGTTAAAAGTACACTCAAGAAAATATGCTATTGATCTTTAGTAATTCAGGAGTGTAATTAAAAACAGCTTAACATGCCCCACCAACATTAGACAACTACACAGAAAGCCCTTCAATTGCTGAAATAATGAAATCAAATAAATAGTCTGAATAGTCGGATGAACTGACACCTGACAAGGACATAGTGGCATAGCGGGAGCTCAGAAGAGTCCTGTGAACCAATAGGTTGTGAGTTCAAATTAATAATATGTACCGTACACATGCACAATGTAACACTATGTTAAAGCAGTGTAACCTTGCCAACAGACAAAGAGCCTTGATTGGCTGGACAACAGTAACAAGGTGTAAAGAAACACTTTTTGGGGGGAGAAAGTTTCTTGGACCATCAGGTGAAGTTCTGACAACTGATACACGTGAATGTTCTTGCAACGTTCCCACGAAACGTGTCTAGAACATGAACATCTTAAATTTTGCGAACATGGTAACCACGTTCTGGGGAAGTTGTATTTTACATTAAGGGGGGATGGGCTCTTGGAAACATTCCTTGCACATCACGGGAACATCCTTGCACATCACGGGAACATTCCTTGCACATCACGGGAACATCCTTGCACATCACGGGAACATCCTTGCACATCACGGTAACATCAATGCACATCACGGTAACATCCTTGCACATCACGGGAACGTCCTTACACATCAGGGGAACGTCCTTTGTGAAAACGTTAACGACCTAACGAGACTCTTAAGGGAACGCCCTCTAAAGTTGTGGGAACTTTTGTTGTGAGCTGGGTACTCTCTGTAGCTCAGTTGGTAGAGCATGGCGCTTGCTACGCCACGATAGTGGGTTCAATTCCCACCCATATTTAAAATGTATACAAGCGTGACTTTGGATAAAAGTGTCTGCTAAATGGCATATAATGATTGTACAAAACATTATGAGCACCTGCTCTTTGCACGAGATACGGTCCAGGTGAAAGCTTTTATCCCTTACTGTTGTCCCTTCAATCAGTGTAGATGAAGGGGAGGAGACAGGTTAAAGAATGATTTTTTAAGCCTTGAGACAGTTGAGACATGGATTGTGTGTGTGTGCCATTCAGAGGGTGAATGGGCAAGACCAAAGATTTAAGTGCCTTTGAACAGGGTATGGTAGTAGGTGCCAGGCGCGCCGGTTTGAATGTGGCAAGAACTGCAATGCTGCCGGGCTTTTCATGCTGAACAGTTTTCGTTGGTATCAAGAATGGTCCACCATCAAAAGGACATCCAGCCAACTTGACACACATGTGGGAAGCATTGGAGTCAACATTGGCCAGCATCCCTGTGGAATGCTTTCGACACCTTGTAGAGTCCATGCCTTGACGAATTGAGGCTGTTCTGAGGGCAAAAGGGGCACATCAAGTCAATTTGGCTCTGATCTAAATCATATTTTTTCTCGATCTGGAGTTTATTCCTTTTTTGTAAATATTTGTTGTTTTCACTGGGGCCAAGCTTCCTGCCATCCAGGCAGTGTTAGAGGAAGGCCCTAAAAATGGCCAAAGACTCCCGCCATCCAGCTTCTATCCCCGAGCCATTAGACTTCTGAACCGTTAATCAAATGGCTACCCGGACTATTTACACAGACCCCTTATTTTATTATGATCTATTATACTGACTCTCTTGCACAGGCTTGATGCACACTCACTGGATCAACCACACACTACAACACACTACAAACAGAAACACACACACACATACATTATAGTCCTTTAGCAGACGCTCTTATCCAGAGCGACTTACAGTTAGTGAGCGCATACATTTTTTTTTTTCTCATACTGGTCCCCCGTGAGAATCGAACCCACAACCCTGGCGTTGCAAGCGCCATGCTCTACCATCTGAGCTACACGGGACTACATACATTCACATTCCTTCCCACTCTTAACATACACTGCTGCTACTCTCTGTTTATTATCTATGAAAAGTCACTTTACCCCTACGCACATGTACATATTACCTCAATTACCTCGACTACCCCGTACCCCCGCACATCGACTCGGTACCGTTACCCCCTGTATATAGCCTCGCTATTGTTATTTTAACCTGTCAACTGCTCCTGGACTCTGATGACCTGAGACCAACTAGACAACTGCTCCAGAACTCTAATGACCTGGCACCAACCAGATAACTGCTCCAGAACTCTAATGACCTGGCACCAACCAGATAACTGCTCCAGAACTCTAATGACCTGGCACCAACCAGATAACTGCTCCAGGACTCTAATGACCTGGCACCAACCAGATAACTGCTCCAGGACTCTAATGACCTGGCACCAACCAGATAACTGCTCCAGGACTCTAATGACCTGGCACCAACCAGATAACTGCTCCAGGACTCTAATGACCTGGCACCAACCAGATAACTGCTCCAGGACTCTAATGACCTGAGACCAACCAGATAACTGCTCCAGGACTCTAATGACCTGAGACCAACCAGATAACTGCTCCAGAACTCTAATGACCTGGCACCAACCAGATAACTGCTCCAGGACTCTAATGACCTGAGACCAACCAGATAACTGCTCCAGGACTCTAATGACCTGAGACCAACTAGATAACTGCTCCAGGACTCTAATGACCTGGCACCAACCAGATAACTGCTCCAGGACTCTAATGACCTGAAACCAACCAGATAACTGCTCCAGGACTCTAATGACCTGAAACCAACCAGATAACTGCTCCTGGACTCTAATGACCTGAAACCAACCAGATAACTGCTCCTGGACTCTAATGACCTGAAACCAACCAGATAACTGCTCCAGGACTCTAATGACCTGGCACCAACCAGATAACTGCTCCAGGACCCTAAAGACCTGAGACCAACTAGATAACTGCTCCTGGACTCTGATGACCTGAGACCAACCAGATAACTGCTCCAGGACTCTAATGACCTGAAACCAACCAGATAACTGCTCCAGGACTCTAATGACCTGAGACCAACCAGATAACTGCTCCAGGACTCTAATGACCTGAGACCAACCAGATAACTGCTCCAGGACTCTAATGACCTGAGACCAACCAGATAACTGCTCCAGGACTCTAATGACCTGAGACCAACCAGATAACTGCTCCAGGACTCTAATGACCTGAGACCAAACCAGATAACTGCTCCAGGACTCTAATGACCTGAGACCAACCAGATAACTGCTCCAGGACTCTAATGACCTGAGACCAACCAGATAACTGCTCCAGGACTCTAATGACCTGAGACCAACCAGATAACTGCTCCTGGACTCATTCAATTGTATTAGCAGTTAGCTACAGTAGCACTCATTTTCACTCTCTCTCTCTTTCTTTCAATATCTCTCTCTTTTCTTTCGATAGTATCCAACTATCTCCATCTCTCAAACAAAGAACACAATTATAACACACCTAATGTCTTACTGCAGCCTGTGGGTCTGCTCTTCCTCTCTGTCTCTCACTCTCTTCTAATCCTACTCTTCCTCCCTGTCTCTCACTCTCTTCTAATCCTCCTCTTCCTCCCTGTCTCTCACTCTCCTCTAATCCTCCTCTTCCTCCCCTGTCTCTCACTCTCCTCTAATCCTCCTCTTCCTCTCTGTCTCTCACTCTCTTCTAATCCTCCTCTTCCTCCCTGTCTCTCACTCTCCTCTAATCCTCCTCTTCCTCCCTGTCTCTCACTCTCTTCTAATCCTCCTCTTCCTCCCTGTCTCTCACTCTCCTCTAATCCTCCTCTTCCTCTCTGTCTCTCACTCTCTTCTAATCCTCCTCTTCCTCCCTGTCTCTCACTCTCCTCTAATCCTCCTCTTCCTCCCTGTCTCTCACTCTCCTCTAATCCTCCTCTTCCTCCCTGTCTCTCACTCTCCTCTAATCCTCCTCTTCCTCCCTGTCTCTCACTCTCCTCTAATCCTCATCTTCCTCCCTGTCTCTCACTCTCCTCTAATCCTCCTCTTCCTCCCTGTCTCTCACTCTCCTCTAATCCTCCTCTTCCTCTCTCCCTCCATCTCTCTGCTGATGGCATGTAATCCTTCTAAACCACTGTGATTTCAAACCAACCAAATTATGCTCAGCTTCTCCTGAATGTCTCCCCATCTCCCCTCAACAATACATGTTTCCTCTGGGAAGAAGGAAAACAAGTGAAAATAGGTTTCTGTCTGTATACCTGTCATTTGGTTTGAAAAGGCGGACATGCCCCTGACTGTGGCAAGTTTGGAAATCACGTGTCTGTCTCTGCAATTCTGGCATTGACGTGTGTCCTTATGCAACCCCCCTGCACACTCAGCTGAGCTGTGTGAGCGAGTTTTCTAAGGATGGCCACAGAACAGCCTGTGAGAACATCCTAATACACTACGTTTAATCATCATTCCACACAAACTGAGAGGGGGAGGTGAATATGAGGGCGTGTGAGTGCGGGGCGGGGTAAGTTCGATTTGTGTGTTTGATCGGGGTTTGTGTGTGTGTATGTGTGATACATTTTGCGTGCGTTCGTGAGTGTATGTGTGTTGCTATTGACAACTTAAGAGGGTCACACTCCCCCTCCCTCCTCTCTCTCTCTCTCCACAGTTTTTATAGAGTAAAACAATGTTCCCTTTCTGCTTTTACCTAGAGAGCTGGGTGAAAGGCTGTCAAAGAGGACCTTTACCTAGAGAGCTGGGTGAAAGGCTGTCAAAGAGGACCTCTACCTAGAGAGCTGGGTGAAAGGCTGTCAAAGAGGACCTTTACCTAGAGAGCTGGGTGAACGGCTGTCAAAGAGGACCTCTACCTAGAGAGCTGGGTGAAAGGCCATCTAAGAGGACCTCTACCTAGAGAGCTGGGTGAAAGGCTGTCTAAGTGGACCTCTACCTAGAGAGCTGGGTGAAAGGCTGTCAAAGAGGACCTCTACCTAGAGAGCTGGGTGAAAGGCTGTCAAAGAGGACCTCTACCTAGAGAGCTGGGTGAAATGCTGTCAAAGAGGACCTCTACCTAGAGAGCTGGGTGAAAGGCTGTCAAAGTGGACCTTTACCTAGAGAGCTGGGTGAAAGGCTGTCAAAGAGGACCTCTACCTAGAGAGCTTGGTGAAAGGCTGTCAAAGAGGACCTCTACATTATTCAATAGGGAAGGAAAGGGGATGAGAGCAGAGGACTGGAGTAGGATAGTGCCCTTAAATACTGATCTTGGGTAGGATAGTGCCCTTAAATACTGATCTTAGGTAGGATAGTGCCCTTAAATATTGATATTAGGTAGGATGGTGCCCTTAAATACTGATCTTAGGTAGGATAGTGCCCTTAAATACTGATCTTAGGTAGGATAGTGCCCATAAATACTGAACTTAGGTCAGTTTTCTGTTTGCCCCCATAATGGAAGGGTGTAACGGTAGCTAACGCACTTTTGTAGATCGCTCTGTCCCGTACATTTGACCTTATTTTAGCATCCCAAAAACGTAATACTTCCAAGGTCAACTGTAATATGAATACCATTGTAAAGCACAATTTCTCCCCTTTCCAGCAAAGTCAATGGTGAGACCTTCCTGCTGCCCGTCTCTGCATGATTGAAGAAGGCAACGGAGCTCCGCCGGGTCTTTTTAAAACTGGCTGGTGGGGAAGTGAAAGCTACTGCGTCATGGTGAAAGGGGGAGAAATGTTGTGTGGGGAACCGGCTTTTTTCACCCGATTTGTCCAACTTATCACCTCTAAAATTTAAATAATACACTATAAAGAGTTTATAGAATGTGTCATTTGAAGGTTTGTGTCGAATTTGAATAGGGTTTTTAGGGCGGCGCTAAATATATCTTCACAATTAAACTGTGGGTGTCACGTTTTTTTTAGAGTCAATTTAACAGTTGATTGAATTAACGATTGATGAACTCACGAGTAATTAACTTTACATTCACCATTACACTCAACATTGATAATTTCTTGTTTTTAATCTGCGAGAGAAGCGCTACATGGTGGGAAGAGGCTGTACGGCACAGAATGAGTTGAATAACGCTTGCACACAAACACAGTCTTGTGCAGCTAACCTTGTGGGGGCATACGATTCAGTCCCATTCAAAATCCTATTCTCCCTAACCCCTAACCCTAAACCTAACCCTAACCTTTACCCAAAAACCTAACCTTAACCTTAATCCTAAACCTAACCCTAGCTCCTAACCCTAACCCTAACACTAACCCTAACCCTAACACTAATTCTAACCTTAACCCTAAACCCCCTAGAAACAGCATTTGACCTTGTGGGGACCAAAATATCCACAGTTGGTCAAATTTTTTCTTGGTTTACTATTCTTGTGGGGACATCTGGTCCCCAAAAGTATAGTTAAACATGTCCACATACACACACACACACACACACACACACACACACACACAACCCCTGTTGTTGTCCCCCACCACCAACACACAGACAACCCCTGTTGTTGTCCCCCACCACCAACACACAGACAACCCCTGTGTGTACACTTACCGACACAGAGGGGCAGGGGGCTATCCCAGGCTCTCCTCTCCCCCCTCAAACAGGTGAGGATCTGGGGTCCCTTCAGGGTGTATCCTGGGTCACAGCTGTAACCCACGGTGCTGCCGGCGAAGTGACCCTTATCTTCTCTCTTATAGCCAAACTGAGGAACACCCGGGTCCTCACACTTCACCAGATCAAAACCTGACGGACGAAGGGATGAACACAAAGATGAGAGAGGAGGAGAGGGGAGATAACAGGGTACGGAGAAAGAGGCGGTAAGGAAGTAGAGAGGAAGTAGAGAGCAAGGACAGAGGAAGGACAGAGGAAGGACAGAGGAAGGACAGAGGAAGTACAGAGGAAGGACAGAGGGAGGACAGAGGAAGTACAGAGGAAGAACAGAGGAAGGACAGAGGAAGGACAGAGGAAGTACAGAGGAAGGAAGAGGAAGGACAGAGGGAGGACAGAGGGAGGACAGAGAAAGGACATAGGGAGGACATAGGGAGGACAGAGGAAGAACAGAGGAAGAACAGAGGAAGTACAGAGGAAGGACAGAGGGAGGACAGAGGAAGGACAGAGGAAGGACAGAGGAAGAGGATGAAAGGTGAATAGAGAAGGAAGGGTTATGAAGAGAGAGGTGAAAGGTGAATAGAGAAGGAAGGGTTATGAAGAGAGAGGTGAAAGGTGAATAGAGAAGGAAGGGTTATGAAGAGAAAGGTGAAAAGTTGGGGCAGAGAAAAAAAAGAGTTAGAGATATACTAAAAATAAAGTATAGAAAGTTGCATAATGACGGCTCAGCGATTCTGCCTCTAGCATACTATTCAAACTCCACCATCATTGGTCGACACCTGAGGGCATGGGTGTGTGTGTGCCTGTTACTCACTAGTAAAGTATAGCTCAAAGCCCTGGCTGGTGTTGTCTGCGTTGCTGATGAACTCCAGCCACATGGAGCTGGATGTAGAGTTGAGAGTGTTTTCCTGCAGCTCAGTCCCAGAGAACACACCCAACAGACGAGCCTGTTTACTACTGCCATCAAACACCTACAGGGAGAGATGGGGAGACAGAGAGAGAGGGAGAGAGGAGAGAGACAGAGACAGAGACAGAGACAGAGAGAGAGAGAGAGAGAGAGAGAGAGAGAGGAGAGAGAGAGAGAGAGAGAGAGAGAGATGGGGAGACAGAGGAGAGAGAGAGAGAGAGAGAGAGAGAGGGAGGGGAGAGAGGGGTTTAGAAATTTTTTTTAACCCTTTTTAAAAACTATAGTGGTCCAGGCAACTCATTATATGATTGTTTAACAAAATTTTTTACCCCTAAACTGATTTGGGTTTTTCAAAAAACCAAATTTGGGGTGAACGGGAAATTTAAAACCAAAAAAAAAGACCTTTGGGTTAACCCTTTTAAATTTTAATTTTGGAAAAAATTTTTTTAAAAACCCTTTTTTTAAAAAAACCACCCCCCCCCCCATTCCCCCCTTTTTGAAAAATTAATTGGGGAAAAAAAAAAAAAATTTTTGGTGTGTTCCCCCCATTTAAACCAAAATTTGGGGGCCGGGGTTTAATAATTGAAATTTTCCCCTTGTAACAAACAAAGTGACCCAAGTCAAGGGGTAATTTTCCGGGGAAGGAAGGGAAGGGCCTTAATTTAAACAAAGGATTTTACCCCCCTCCCTAAATCCACAACCATCCCTCGAGGGAAAAGATCTCCCAATGCAGCATGAAACAAACAAACACAAATCCCAAAACCTTTTTTCCCCCTCAGGGAAAATTTTGCCGGGGCCCCGGTCTGAAGCCCGGCTGACCCCGGAAAAATTTGACCTCCTGGTGGGTCGGGAAAGAGAGAACAAGGGGTTTAAAAAGGGGTAACCCTTGGTAGTAGGGGGAAGACCCTCCGGGGCCCGGGTTACGGGGAGGATACATTTTTAAAGGGGCTTGGGGAGAGAGAGAGGAGGAGGGGGAGGGAATGAAAAGAGAGGGGGAGAGAGAGGAGACCGGGGAGAGGAAAGAGAGAAGAGAGAGAGCCGAGAGAGAGAGCGAGAGAGAAAAAGGGGGAGAGAGAGAGAGAGAGAGAGAGAGAGAGGGAGAGGGGAGAGAGGAGGAAGAGAGGGAGAAAAGAGAGAGGGGAGGAGAAAAGGGGAGGGGGGGAGGGGAGAGGGGAGAGAGAGAGAGAGAGAGAGGAGAGAGAGAGAGGTCCCACTACATCCCAAATTTTCATCCAGAATATGTACTTATGCATGCTTCTATGGAGGCATGCAGAGGGGAGGATAATGTAGGAGAGATGAGAACTGATGACCTGGATGGAGTTCAAAGTATCTGTGACCCTTCTACACATTTACAGTGTTTTGATCTGTCAAAATTGAACATAAATAGAAATTCATTACAGACAGAAAAACTGCTCAAATCCAGTGTCCTCAAAAGGACCAATGAAAACCATCCAACCAGCCGTCTAAATCTAAAGTCATATTGTGCAGCTGTTGTTGCCTGACCCAGTTTCTCCCAAACATAGAAAAAAGCAGAAGACCAGATAACAGGGAATAAAAACTATTTCAACTGGAACGTCAAAATCTCAACGTTTAGACAAATTACTTTCATTTCATACTATAATTGCTGGAAATCTGGCCTCTAAGATACACTATATATACAAAAGTATGTGGACACCTCTTCAAATTAGTTCATTCGGGCTATTTCAGCCACACCCATTGCTGACTGCTGTATAAAGTGGAGCACACAGCCATGCAATCTCCATAGACAAACATTGGCAGTAGAATGGCCCGTACTGAAGAGCTCAGTGACTTTCAACATGGCACCGTCATAGGATGCCACCTTTCCAACAAGTCAGTTTGTCAGATTTCTGCCCTGCTGGAGCTGCCCCGGTCAACTGGAAGTGCTGTTATTTTGAAGTGGTAGGCCACAGAAGCTCACAGAATGGGACCGCCGAGTGCTGAAGCGCGTAGTGCGTAAAAATCGTCTGTCCTCGGTTGCAACACTCACTACCGAGCTCCAAACTGCCTCTGGAAGCAACGTCAGCACAAGAACTGTTCGTCGGGATCTTCATGAAATAGGTTTCCATGGCCAAGCAGCCGCACACAAGCCTAAGATCACCGTGCACAATGCCAAGCGTCGGCTGGAGTTGTGTAAAGCTCGCCACCATTGGACTCTGGAGCAGTGGAAACGCATTCTCTGGAGTGATGAATCACACTTCACCACCTGGAAGTCCAACAGACAAATCTGGGTTTGATGGATGCCAGGAGACCACTACCTGCCCCAATGCATAGTGCCAACTGTAAAGTTTGGTGGAGGAGGAATAATGGTCAGGGGTTGTTTTTCATGGTTCGGGCTAGGCCCCTTAGCTCCAGTGAAGGGAAATCTTAACGCTACAGCATACAATGACATTCTAGACGATTCTGTGCTTCCAACTTTGTGGCAACAGTTTGGGAAAGGCCCTTTCCTGTTTCTGCATGACAATGCCAAGATTACGTCTAGTCTGTTATAGAAGCAAAGGGGGGACCAACTCCATATTAACGCCCATGATTTTGTAATGAGATGTTCGACGAGCAGGTGTCCACATACCTTTGGTCATGTAGTGTATTTCTCAATTTCATTGTAACAGTTTAAGCCGTTTTCCTCTTGGTATGATTCCACTGGCTCTCCAGTTAGTTATACATAGGTTATAGTTACATTCTATGAATTAAGAGGGGCTCATTTTAATACTGTATTATCATCAAAATCTGGACCTTGAAGCCAGTTCCAATGATTGTTTTCAATCCTCCTCTCTAAGGGACTGATTTAGACTGGGACACCAGGTGGGTGGAATTAATTATCAAGTAGAACAGAAAACCGGCAATACTCTGGACCTCGTTGGGTAAGATTTGAATACTCCTTCTCATAAAATATGCCGTTTTTTTGTGACCCTGGACATTTGCAGAACTCACCCGTTCTAACCATTTCATCCACTCTATATATCACCATAATCCACTCTCTATATCACCATAATCCACTCTCTATATCACCATAATCCACTCTCTATATCACCATAATCCACTCTATATATCACCATAATCCACTCTATATATCATCATAATCCACTCTATATATCACCATAATCCACTCTCTATATCACCATAATCCACTCTATATACACCATAATCCACTCTCTATTCACTATAATCCACTCTCTATATCATCAAATCCACTCTATTTCATAATCCACTCTCTATATCATCATAATCCACTCTATATATCACCATAATCCACTCTATATATCACCATAATCCACTCTCTATATCACCATAATCCACTCTATATATCACCATAATCCACTCTCTATATCACTATAATCCACTCTCTATATCATCATAATCCACTCTATATATCACCATAATCCACTCTATATATCACCATAATCCACTCTCTATATCACCATAATCCACTCTATATATCACCATAATCCACTCTCTATATCACCATAATCCACTCTATATATCACCATAATCCACTCTCTATATCACTATAATCCACTCTCTATATCATCATAATCCACTCTATATATCATCATAATCCACTCTATGTATCTCCATAATCCACTCTATATAGCTCCATAATACACTCTCTATATCACCTTAATCCACTCTACACATAACCATAATCCACTCTATATATCTCCATAATTGTCAAGACTTCCTCCGAGGCTGCCTCCCCTCCTTGTTCGGGCAGGTTTCGGCGTTCGGCGTCACCGGCTTACTAGCTACTGCCGATCCATTTATCATCACTCCATTTGTCTTGTCTTCAATCACACACACCTGGTCCTTATTCCCTCATTAGTCATGGTATAAGTGTTCCCTCTGCTTCCTTGTCTGTGTGGGTGATTGTTTATTGTGGAGGTTAGTGAAACTTGGTGGAGCTTGTGTATTTTGTATCGACAGGAGTATTTCCTGTGTGCCTTGTATTTTCCAGTGTGCCTGTTTTGTGCCCTGGAGTGTGTTTGACGCATTTCTGTGTAAACCTGTATTTTGCGGATTAAAGCCTGTTATTCTGTGATTTACCCTCCTGCGCCTGACTCCTTCAATGGCACCTCATCGCAATAATCCACTCTCTATATCACCATAATCCACTCTATATATCACCATAATCCACTCTATATATCACCATAATCCACTCTATATATCACCATTATCCACTCTATATATCACCATAATTCACTCTATATATCTCCATAATCCACTCTATATATCACCATTATCCACTCTATATATCACCATAATTCACTCTATATATCTCCATAATCCACTCTATATATCTCCATAATTCACTCTATATATCTCCATAATCCACTCTATATATCTCCATAATCCACTCTATATATCTCCATAATCCATTCTATTTATCTCCGTAATCCACTCTATATATCACCATAATCCACTCTATATATCTCCATAATCCACTCTATATATCATCATAATCCACTCTATATATCTCCATAATCCACTCTATATATCTCCATAATCCACTCTATATATCTCCATAATCCACTCTATATATCTCCATAATCCACTCTATATATCTCCATAATCCACTCTATATATCACCATAATCCACTCTATATATCACCATAATACACTCTATATATCACCATAATCTACTCTATATATCACCATAATCCACTCTCTATTTCACCATAATCCACTCTCTATATCACTATAATCCACTCTATATATCACATTAATCCACTCAATATATCACCATAATCCACTCTATATATCACCATAATCCACTCTATATATCTCCATAATCCACTCTATATATCTCCATAATCCACTCTATATAGCTCCATAATCCACTCTATATATCACCATAATCCGCTCTATATCTCACCATAATCCGCTCTATATCTCACCATAATCCACTCTATATCTCACCATAATCCACTCTATATCTCACCATAATCCACTCTATATATCACCATAATCCACTCTATTTATCACCATAATCCAGCCTGAAGAGTAGTACTCTATATATATATATATATATATATATATATATATATATATATATATATATATATATATAAATATATATATATATATATATATATATATATATATATATATATATATGTTGTTGAATGGGGAAGTGTATGATAGTGTGTATAAGGGAACATGGCGGTATGAGTTGATGTACACGATTGGGCGAGGTGGCGATGAGGTGGGCGGTTGGGACAGGAGTGTGAACAAAGCCAAATTAAATAGTGTGACCACCTACCAACACACCTTGGCAGAGGGGAGCTCCACACCCTCCTCCGCCCGCCCAGGCACGTCACCCTCACCGGCCCCTCCAGACGGTATCCAGGGAAACAGGAGAAGGTGAGCACATCCCCCACCCCAAACTGTAACCCCTTACGGGTACTGTAGGGAGGAACGCCCGGATCTTCACAGGGTTCCAGGTCATACTCTGGAGGAGGAGAAGAGAGGGAGAGAAGGGAGAGATAATAATTATTATAAAACTGGGTGGTTCCAGCCCTGAATGCTGATTGGCTGAAAGCCACGGGTATGACATACCACGGGTATGACACCATTTTTATTTTTAATGCTTTTAGAAGACCTACTCATTCAAGGGTTTTTCTTGATTTTTGATATTTTCTACATTGTAGAATAATAGTGAAGACATAAACTATGAAATAACACATATGGTTTCATGTAGTAACCCAAAAAACTGTTAAAAAAATCAAATATCTTTTATATTTGAGCTTCTCAAATAGCAACCTTTTGCCTTGATTACAGCTTTGCACACTCCTGGCATTCTCTCAACCAGCTTCACCTGGAATGCTTTTCCAACAGTCTTGAAGGAGTTCCCACATATGCTGAGCACTTGTTGGCTGCTTTTACATCACTCTGCGGTCTGACTCATCCAAAACCATCTCAATTGGGTTGAGGTCGGGGGATTGGGGAGGCCAGATCATCTGATGCAGCACTCCATCACTCTCCTTCTTGGTAAAATAGCCCTTACACAGCCTGGAGGTGTGTTGGGTCATTGTCCTGTTGAAAAGCAAATGATAGTCCCACTAAGCCAAACCAGATGGGATGGCGTATCGCTGCAGAATGCTGTGGTAGCCACGCTGGTTAAGTGTGCCTTGATTTCTAAATAAATCACAGACAGTGTCACCAGAAAAGCACCCCCACACCATAACACCTCCTCCTCCATTATTTACGGTGGGAAATACACATGGAGATCATCCGTTCACCCACACAAAGACACGACGGTTGGAACCAAAAATCTCCAATTTGAACTCCAGACCAAAGGCCACATTTCCACCGGTCTAACAACCATTGCTCGTGTTTCTTGGCCCAAGCAAGTCTCTTCTTCTTATTGGTGTCCTTTAGTAGTGGTTTCTTTGCAGCAATTCGACCATGAAGGCCTGATTCACACAGTCTCCTCTGAACAATTGATTTTGAGATGTGTCTGTTACTTGAACTCTGTGAAGCATTTATTTGGGCTGCAATTTCTGAGGCTGGTAACTCTAATGAACTTATCCTCTGCAGCAGAGGTAACTCTGTGTCTTCCATTAATGTGGCGGTCCCCATGAGAGCCAGTTTCATCATAGCGACTTTACTTGAAAAAAATTCTTAAAGTAATGATGGTCTGTCGTTTCTCTTTGCTTATTTGAGCTGTTCTTGCCATAATATGGATTTGGTCTTTTACCAAATAACAACACAACTGATTTGCTCAAACACATTAAGAAGGAAATAAATTACACAAATTAACTTTTAAGAAGGCACACCTGTTAATTGAAATGCATTCCAGGTGACTATCTCATGAAGCTGGTTGAGAGAATGCCAAGAGTGTGCAAAGTTATCATCAAGGCAAAGGGTGGCTATTTGAAGAATCTCAAATATAAAATATATTTTGATTTGTTTATCACTTTTTTTGATTACTACATGATTCCATATGTGTTATTTCATAGTGTTGATGTCTTCACTACAATGTAGAAAATAGTACAAATAAAGAAAAACCCTTGAATGAGTGTTGTAAAACTTTTGACCGGTAGTGTATAGTGAGCTATTAGGACAGTGATTTTTGTTGTTGTTGTTGTTTTGGCTCTGTACACCAGCACTTTGGATTTGAAATTGCAGACTTTCAGCTTTAATTTGAGGTTATTTCCATCCATATCAGGTGAACCGTTTAGAAATTACAACACTTTTTGTACATAGTCAGGAGACATTAGGAGACCAAATGTATTAAAGTAGTCAAAAATTCAGTATTTGGTCCCATATTCAATGCAATGATTACATCAAGTTTGTGACTCTACAAACTTGTTCGATGCATTTGCTGTTTGTTTTGGTTGTGTTTCAGATTATTTTGTGCCCAATGGAAATGCATGGTAAATAATGTATTGTGTCTTTTGGGCGTTAATTTGATTGTAAATAAGAATATAATATGTTTCTAAACATTAATGTGGATACTACCATGATTAAGGATAGTTGTGAATAACGAAAAGTTATATATATATAAATTATATCCCCAAAGAAAGACTAACCTCTCACCTTTACAATATGATGGCGCCGGAGGAGATGGCTGCCATTTTATGGACTCTTTATGGACTCTTAACCAACCGTGCTATTTTGTGTGTTTTTTCGCATTGTTTGTAACTTATTTTGTACATAATGTTGCTGCTACCATCTCTTATGACCGAAAAGAGCTTCTGGACATCAGAACAGCGATTACTCACCTTGCACTGGACAAATACTTTTTATTTAATGAGTCGGACGAGAGGGATTTGCTCCAGACGCCCGACAGGGCCCTCATCCCAGTCATTCGCAGTAGAAAGAAAAGGAGATATTGCAGAAGGAGATCGGGGTGCTTGGTAAGGAGTCGGCGACGAGTGGCTAATCTGCCTTTGCCATCGATACTATTGGCCAACTTACAATCGCTTGATAATAAAGTGGACAAACTACAGGCACGAATATCCTACCAACGGGACATTAAAAACAGTAATATCTTATGTTTCACTGAGTCGTTGCTGAACGACGACATGAATAACATACAGCTGGCGGGTTATACACTGTATCGCCAGGATAGAACAGCAGCCTCTGGCAAGACAAGGGGTGGCGGTCTACGAATATTTGTAAACAACAGCTGGTGCACGATATCTAAGGAAGTCTCTAGGTTTTGCTCGCCTGAGGTAGAGTATCTCATGATAAGCTGTAGACCACACTATCTACCAGGAGAGTTTTCATCTATATTCTTCATAGCTGTCTATTTACCACCACAAACCGATGCTGGCAATAAGACCGCACTCAATGAACTGTATACGGCCATAAGCAAACAGGAAAACGCTCATCCAGAGACGGCACTCCTAGTGGCCGGGGACTTTAATGCAGGGAAACTTCAATCCGTTTTACCTCAGTTCTACCAGCATGTTAAATGTGCAACCAGAGGGAAAAAAAACTCTAGACCACCTTTACTCCAAACACAGAGACGCTTACAAAGCTCGCCCTCGCCCTCCATTTGGCAAGTCTGACCATAATTCTATCCTCCTGATTCCTGCTTACAAGCAAAAACTAAAGCAGGAAGCACCAGTGACTCGGTCAATAAAGAAGTGGTCAGATGATGCAGATGCTAAGATACAGGACTGTTTTGCTAGCACAGACTGGAATATGTTCCGGGATTCTTCCGATGGCATTGAGGAGTACATCAGTCACTGGCTTCATCAATAAGTGCATTGATGACGTTGTCCCCACAATGACTGTACGTACATACACCAACAAGAAGCCATGGATTACAGGCAACATCTGCACTGAGCTAAAGGGTAGAGCTGCCGCTTTCAAGGAGCGGGACTCTAACCTGGAAGCTTATGAGAAATCCCACTATGCCCTCCGACGAACCATCAAACAGGCAAAGAGTCAATACAGGACTAAGATCGAATCATACTACACCGGCTCTGACGCTCGTCGGATGTGGCAGGGCCTGCAAACTATTATAGACTACAAAGGGGAAGCACAGCCGCGAGCTGACCAGTGACACAAGCCTACCAGATGAGCTAAATCACTTCTATGCTCGCTTCGAGGCAAGCAACACTGAAGCATGCATGAGAGCATCAGTTGTTCCGGATGACTGTGTGATCCCGCTCTCCATAGCCGATGTGAGTAAGACCTTTAAACAGGTCAACAAGGCCACAGGGCCAGACGGATTACCAGGACACGATGACCAACTGGCAAGTGTCTTCAATGACATTTTCAACCAACATGTTTCAAGCAGACCACCATAGTCCCTGTGCCCAATAACACAAAGGTAGCCTGCCTAAATGACTACTGACCCGTAGCACTTACGTCTGTAGCCATGAAGTGCTTTGAAAGGCTGGTCATGGCTCACATCAAACCATTATCCCAGAAACCCTAGACCCACTCCAATTTGCATATCGCCCCAACAGATCCACAGATGATGCAATCTCTATTGCGCTCCACACTGCCCTTTCACACCTGGGCAAAAGGAACACCTATGTGAGAATGCTATTCATTGACTACAGCTCAGCGTTCAACACCATAGTGCCCTCAAATCTCATCACTAAGCTAAGGACCCTGGGACTAAACACCTCCCTCTGCAACTGGATCCTGGACTTCCTGACGGGCCGCCCCCAGGTGGTAAGGGTAGGTAACAACACATCTGCCACACTGATCCTCAACACGGGGGCCCCTCAGGGGTGCGTGCTCCCCTCCTGTACTCCCTGTTCACTCATGATTGCATGGCCAGGCACGACTCCAACACCATCATTAAGTTTACAGATGACACAACGGTGGTAGGCCTGATCACCGACAACGATGAGACAGCCTATAGGGAGGAGGTCAGAGACCTGGCAGTGTGGTGCCAGGATAACAACCTCTCCCTCAACGTGATCAAGACGAAGGAAAAAGAAGAGGACCGAGCACGCCCCCATTCTCATCGACGGGGCTGTAGTGGAGCAGGTTGAGAGCTTCAAGTTCCTTGGTGTCCACATCACCAACAAGCTAACATGGTCCAAGCACACCAATACAGTTGTGAAGAGGGCACGACAAAACCTATCCCCCCATGGAGACTAAAAATATTTGGCATGGGTCCTCAGATCCTCAAAAGGTTCTACAGCTGCACAATCGAGAGCATCCTGACTGGTTGCATCACTGCCTTGTACGGCAACTTCTCGGCCTCCAACCACAAGGCTTTACATAGTGCGTACGGCCCAGTACATCACTGGGGCCAAGCTTCCTGCCATCCAGGACCTCTATACCAGGCGGTGTCAGAGGAAGGCCCTACAAATTGTCAAAGATATATAGCCTCGCTACTGTTATTTTATTTTACTGCTGCTCTTTAGTTATGTGTTACTTTTATTTCTTACTATTTTACATTGTATTTTTTTTGTGATTTTCTTTGGTATTTGTTCTTAAAACTGCATTGTTGGTTAAGGGCTTGTATGTAAGCATTTCACTGTAAGGTCTACACCTGTTGTATTCGGCGCATAAAATTTGATTTGATTTGATAACAGGGGAGGTTAGTGTTTTTTGGGGGTATGATATTGTGCGTCTGTAAATTTCTCACTCATCATTATTCACAATTCATTCAGGATTATCCATAATCATCCACATTAGAAGTGTTTAGAAACATATTCGGTAACACTTTACTTGACACCCCATGTTATGAGAGGGTCATAACCATGTCATAATATGTTATAACACTGTCATGACACATTTAGACATATATTGTGTTATTTTATGGCTGCTTTGGACACCTACTTAAGAGTGTCAAAACCTACAAAACTACCACAACAACGCAAAACTTCCATTTACAAAAAACAAAAAACCCGTAGCCTACTCGTCACATATGTTTATGTTATATATTTGTTTTTATTGCCCATATTAACTGAATCATCTTAATTACGCACACACAGCATGCACCGATCACCAATGCGCTGTTTGCTGATGACTGGGATGAATGCAGACAAGATTTTCAGGACAGACAAGACACCCTTTTTTTTGACTGATGACTGACAAATAAGTGATAGAAGCTATCTGGCTTTATGACTTTGATGGTCATAATGCTTCATGACAGTGGCATAAAGTGTAATTTTTCTACTAGTTAATTAAAATATGATGAAGCAAAACCGGTCTGTAAATAATTAATGAACACAACAAAATAATTTAAGAAACACACTTTCATAGAAAATAAACTTCTTGGCAGGGAAAAAAAAACTAATTTGAATAAATTCGGGTTTAGACACTCTTATGTAGGTATCATAACCAGCCATAAAATAACGCAATATATTTTACATTTACATTTACGTCATTTAGCAGACGCTCTTATCCAGAGCGACTTACAAATTGGTTCATTCACCTTATAGCCAGTGGGATAACCACTTTACAATCATAAATTTTTTTGGGGGGGTGGGGTGGGGGGTGGGGGGTAAGGGGGGGGATCGTTGAGAGACGGGATTTACACAACAAGTGTAAATATATGTGTCATGACAGTGGTATGACCATATTATGACAGGTTATGACAGCTGTTATGACATATTATGACATGGTTATGCCACTGAGTGTCAAGGTGTTACCACATATTATATTCTTATTTACAATAAAAGTGACCCCAAAATGACACAATACATTATTTACCATTCATTTCTATTGGGCACAAAATAATCTGAAACAACAACCATAAACAAACAACAAATGAGTCCAACAAGTTTGTAGAGTCACAAGTTTGATGTAATCATTGATCAGTATGTGCTGTGTGGTCAACTGATATGGTAGTGTGACCGTTTACATTTTTAGTCATTTAGCAAGACACTCTTATCCAGAGCTGTCCCGCCCTGACCTGGAGAGACTGCTATTCTCTAGGTAGTTTGGTCAGGGTGTGAAACTCTATGTTTGTGTTCCTGTTTGGCTTGTTTCGTGTATAGCCCATAGGACTTCACGTTTTCGTCGCTTTTTTTTTTTTTTTTTTTTTTGAGTGTTTTATCTTCACTAATAAATATGTACGCATACCACGCTGCACCTTGGTCTGACCCGTCTCTCAACGATCGTGACAAGAGCGACTTAGTAGCTCCATTTCAATGGTAGCCTGTCTTCCTATCTGGTTCCAAGGACCGTGAAACTAGCCTGGTACCAGATCGCTATGTGCTGAGTGGTCAACTCATCTGGTAGTGTGACGTTTACATTTTTAGTCATTTAGCAAGACGCTCTTATCCAGAGCGACTTACAGTCAGAAGACAAAATAAACAGATCTGGGACCAGGCTAGTTTCATGTTCTTTCTAGCCGGATAGGGAGGCACACAGATACACACATACACTCATATTTGTTTTTTGGTCGATCCCCAAATACATTACATCATACAATAGGCTATTCTCTCAGTATTCCCCAAAATCTCACAATAATCGTCTGTCAAGGTTTATAGCTGTATTTCATGGCCCTTCGAGACGGATAAGAAGCCATGCTTCTACAGTTATAGCTGTGTCGAAGTTTCTCTTTCAAACACACGCAGAGGCCCAAGCCCCAAAACCCTACCTGAGAAGGTGATGTTGAATCCCTCGTAGGAGACAGAGAAGTCTGAAAGGAAGCGTATCTGAGCGGTGTAGTTCCCATACAGGCCTGCACTGAGGGTGGGGGGCAGTGTTGAGCCTGTTAGTCTCCACAGGGGCTCGGGGAAGCTGCCGTTCTCCGTCACCAACAGGTGGTCGTGGGGAGACTCTAGGTGGAATGTATGGAAGGTGAACTGGACACCTGGTGGGGGAGGAGAGAGAGAGACAAGAGTCAGCTACACCCTTCCTGGTGGGGGAGGAGAGAGAGAGACAAGAGTCAGCTTCACCCTTCCTGGTGGGGGAGGAGAGAGGGAGAGAAGAGTCAGCTACACTCTTCCTGGTGGGGGAGGATATATATATATACGTATATATGTATATACAGTTGAAGTTGGAAGTTTACATACACCTTAGCCAAATACATTTAAAATCAGTTTTTCACAATTCCTGACATTTAATCCGAGTAAGAATTCCCTGTCTTAGGTCAGTTAGGATCCCCACTTTATTTTAAGAATGTGAAATGTCAGAATAATAGTAGAGAGAATGATTTATTTCAGCTTTTGTTTCTTTCATCACATTCCCAGTGGGTCAGAAGTTTACATACACTCAATTAGTATTTGGTAACATTGCCTTTAAATTGTTTAACTTGGGTCAAACGTTTCGAGGAGCCTTCCACAAGCTTCCCACAATAAGTTGGGTGAATTTTGGCCCATTCCTCCTGACGGAGCTGGTGTAACTGAGTCAGGTTTGTAGGCCTCCTTGTTCGCGCACGCTTTTTCAGTTCTGCCCACAAAATTTCTATAGGATTGAGGTCAGGGCTTTGTGATGGCCACTCCAATACATTGACTTTGTTGTCCTTAAGCCATTTTGCCACAACTTTGGAAGTATGCTTGGGGTCATTGTCCATTTGGAAGACCCATTTGCGACCAAGCTTTAACTTCCTGACTGATGTCTTGAGATGTTGCTTAAATATATCCACATCATTTTCCTTCCTCATGATGCCATCTATTTGGTGAAGTGCACCAGTCCCTCCTACAGCAAAGCACCCCCACAGCATGATGCTGCCACCCCCGTGCTTCACGGTTGGGGTGGTGTTCTTCGGCTTGCAAGTCCCCCTTTTTCCTCCAAACATAACGATGGTCATTTCTCCAAAATCTTTGTCCCCATGTGCAGTTGCAAACCTAGTCTGGCTTTTTTATGGCGGTTTTGGAGCAGTGGCTTCTTCCTTGCTGAGCGGCCTTTCAGGTTATGTCGATATAGGACTCGTTTTACTGTGGATATAGATACTTTTGTACCTGTTTCCTCCAGCATCTTCACAAGGTCCTTTGCTGTTGTTCTGGGATTGATTTGCACTTTTCACACCAAAGTACGTTCATCTCTAGGAGACAGAGCGCGTCTCCTTCCTGAGTGGTATGACGGTAAAAAAAAGACTGAGTGGTATTTTGGTTTAAAAAAAAGACTGTCAAATCACCAGGAATTCAGCTAAACATTTCATTGATTTAGGAAATCTGTATTCCCACACACAAAAAAAAGATGTGATCGTGTATCAGTGTAATAAAGGTATGAAATGATTGTTATCTCTTTTCAGGCTGTGGTCAATTTGCAGTGTATCAATTATTATAATTCTGTTCCGGCCCCCTGACTATTCACTCAGACAGAAACGTCCCGAGGTCGAATCTAGCTGCCTACCCCTGCCGTGGTACTAATAGTGATGTGATGGGGGGTTGGGTAACCAAGATACTTTATGAAGAGGTAACAGCACTAATAGTGATGTGATGGGGGGTTGGGTAACCAAGATACTTTATGAAGAGGTACTAATAGTGATGTGATGGGGGGTTGGGTAACCAAGATACTTTATGAAGAGGTAACAGCACTAATAGTGATGTGATGGGGGGTTGGGTAACCAAGATACTTTATGAAGAGGTACTAATAGTGATGTGATGGGGGGGTTGGGTAACCAAGATACTTTATGAAGAGGTACTAATAGTGATGTGATTGGGGGGTTTGGGTAAACCAAGATCCTTTATGAAGAGGTACTAATAGTGATGTGATGGGGGGTTGGGTAACCAAGATACTTTATGAAGAGGTAACAGCACTAATAGTGATGTGATGGGGGGTTGGGTAACCAAGATACATTATGAAGAGGTAACAGCACTAATAGTGATGTGATGGGGGGTTGGGTAACCAAGATACTTTATGAAGAGGGTACTAATAGTGATGTGATGGGGGGTTGGGTAGCAGCGGTGCAGGGATGTACCAGCATTCTCTACAGGACCCGATAAGTGCCAGGGTTGTGGGTTTGATTCCCACGGGGGGCCAGTATGAGCAGAAAAAAAAGTCTCTCTGGATAAGAGCGTCCGCTAAATGACTAACATGTAAATGTAAATAAGTGAAATGACATTGTCAGTGAAATTGAATTAGACTGGAGGTGAACAGCATGCAGACAGTAGTGGGCATGCTCACCTTTGCCATGGGAGGATTCAATCATCCAGGTGCAGTTGAGGTTGTGAGGATAGAAGTCTGGAAACCCCGGAGAGAGGATGGTACCGGTGTTACCCTGGATATAACCTCCACACAACGCTGGAGAGAGAGGGAGAGAGGGAGACGAGAGATATAGAGAGAAGATAGAGAGATAGAGAGAGATATATATAGATAGCGAAGCAGAGATAAGAGAGATACGAGCTCTAGATAGATAGTAGGCTCTCCAGCTACTAGCTATATGCTCTCTCTCTCTCTCTTTATCTCGAGCTCTGCTCGCTCCTCTCTCTTGAACTCCTAGCAGAAAATTGTTGGTACTAAACTATACGTAATGAAATGTACACCGGTTTCACCATGCACTAAATCCAGTTTACTATCAGTGCCCTTCTGAAGGACATAAACAGAGAGGGCAATATCATCATACAGGAGGAGGAAATCAATACTGGCCATAAATATAAAAGCCTTTATAGTGAAATAAGAAGAGAAACTCTAAAGGGTAAGAATTGTCCCTTAAATATGAAAATACTGAGAAAGTACTGAGAAAACGCTGCCATTCGGACGCTACACAGCATGGCCCTAAACACTGATTTAGGGTTCCGTTTCAAGTTTCCCCCCCATTGGATAAAGGTAGATATTGGGAAGTCATAAGATTATCCTATTATCCTTTACTGTATGATACGGGCAACTTCCACCTGGAAGTAACCTGGGGGGGGGGGTAATTTTGTGAACAGAATTCAGAATTGGGCCGTACCATCACAGCCGGGTAGGGGTCGACTCCACTGGAAGTTGGGTTCGCACTCCAGGGGCTCCAGGTCGCTAAGGGAGTACCCCGCATCACAGCTGAACGTTACCAAGGCACCCACGTAGAAGTCGTTGCCATGGCGTTGGCCGTTGACAGGGATGCCAGGGTCGACACAGTGATCTGACTGTAGCTGTAGAGCTGAGGAGGAAAACACACACACAGGGGTTATCACACACACACACACACACACACACACACACACACACACACACACACCACACACACACACACACACACACACACACCACACACAACACACACACACACACAAACACAGTCACTACACACACACACACACACAACACACAGGGGTTTACTACACACATACACACACACCACACACACACACACACACCACACACCAGGGTTACTACACACATACACACACACCACACCACACACCACACACACACACACACAACACACCACACACACACACACACACACACACACCACACACACACAACACACACACACACCAACACACACACACACACCAGGGATTACTACACACATACACCACCACACACACACACACACAGGGGTTACTACACACACACACACACTCACACACAGACACACACACACACACACACACACACACAGGGGTTACTACACACACACACACACAGACACACACACACACACAAACACACACAGGGGTTATTACACACACACCCCTCTTCCCTATGCCACAATACCATCTATACTGATTGAGTCATACTGAATATCTAAGAGGTCCTGATGTGCTTAAAGGCATTAACCCTCTACAGTAAGACGACCATTATGGAAATAAGTCCCAGACTGTTTTGTGGGGTATCCTTGACCATTTACTCATGTGCATGTATGTTTTTTTGAAGTTTTATGTGTGCTTGTTTTCGTTTTGTTTTTAATGGTCGCATAATACATTAGAGTAAAGTAAAGTAAAGTAAACTACTTTTGACCACGGTCCATAGGAAGTAGAGTGCCTAAAACTTCTGTACAACTTCCTTTCAGGTTTTGTTTTGAATACAATTTCCTGTCAGGTTTTGTTTTGAATACAACTTCCTGTCAGGTTTCGTTTTGATTTCACCTTCCTGTCAGGTTTTGTTTTGAATACAACTTCCTGTCAGGTTTTGTTTTGAATACAGGGGCCAACTAAAAGTGATCTCACCCCCACACATACCTTTCCTTGTTTCTGTCTGAGTGGTGCAGTAGCCATGGTGAATTATTAAAGCAGAGACCGGTGGTGTGACTAAGGGTTACTAAGTTGAGTCAGGTATAAAAAGATTTTAAAAAACTTTAACTCTCACCTAGTCCTCCAAGATGACACTGTTTTTAAAGGTGTTTGTGTGTGTGTGTATTCGTGGCCCCATGCGAGATTGTGTGTGACAGGGTTATCTTACAGTAAAATCAACCCAGTAATTATTAGATCATTGTAAATGTTGGGATTGAGATGTCTGCACAGAGACAAGAGAGCCCACAGTGATGATGGTTTTAATACCACCTCATTAATACACCTCATTAATACCACCTCATTAATACCACCTCATAAATATCACCTTATTAATATCACCTCATTAATATAATCTCATTAATACCACCTCATTAATACCACCTCATTAATATCACCTCATTAATATAATCTCATTAATACCACCTCATTAATACCACCTCATTAATACCACCTCATTAATACCACCTCATTAATACCACCTCATAAATATCACCTTATTAATATCAGCTTATTAATATCCCCTAATTAATATCCCCTTATTAATATCCCCTAATTAATATCACCCCATTAATATCACCTCATTAATATCACTTCATTAATACCACCTCATTAATATGATTACTATGATTATATTATATGGCATGATTATAGCTCAGTCAGGGACCTGGCATGATTATAGCAGTAGAATAGCAATACCATATGTGACTAGTTTCAGGAAACTAGGCGTCACTACTTCACAGGAGAGGCATTTGAAGGTAAACCTTTTTTTTTTATATGATGCATTTTTGGGCAGAAAAGCCTTCTGGGTAATGTGAACTTTTATGGGCCTTAATAACAAACTTGTATGACATCTGTAATTACGAATACAATTGTTAAATTACGAGCGTAGTTGGCTTTAGCCACGGAAAAAGACAGAAGACTTCCCGCTAGCCATGATTGGCTGAGATAATGCTGAGAGATGAGATCGGATTGGTCTGCCATGTAGCACACTTCTGTCTATAACATGAGCTGGTAATCCTTTCTAACGCGACATTTTTGAAAGATATCATGAAGAATTTCAAAAGAGTTGCTAAGGCTCTACACTTTCTGGAGGACCGAGTTTTGAAATCAGTGGAATGCCAAGTGGAAGCAGAGTATGATAGCTAATGCGATGAAAAAATGAAGGCGTTTGATTGCAAATGTGGAGGGAGTCGAAAAGAGAACAGAAGGCTGTTGTATAAAACACCTGTCTCCGGATTACATCTTCAAACTAAGGGCAACCATGGCATCCGTGTCAGAGAGGGAGAAGCGTCCATCCATGTATACGGGTAAGAGAGTCTAGCTAGCTACATTTTCAGATATTATGCATTTCTAATTTAGTCAGAAAGTCGTTTTCATTGCAAGTTAAAGCGTACTGTTTGCTAGCTAGCTAATGTTATGCGTCTGAGCTGTGTAGTAACATTATTCGTATCTCAGAGCCATTTGCATTGCAAGTTATAGACTAATGTTAGCTAGCTAGCTAACATTGAACCTATTTGGTTAGCTTTAGCTACCTGTAGATTCATGCAGGTTAGTAGCGTTATGAGTTGGGATTATGGTTCATTGTTTAGCTAGCTAGCTACATGGCTAAACAAAATACTACACTATGCAAGTAACCATTTCACTGTACCATTTACATCATTTAGCAGACGCTCTTATCCAGAGCGACTTACAGTTAGTGCATACATTATTATTATTATATATTTTTTTCATACCCCATGGGAATCGAACCCACAATCCTGGTGTTGCAAACGCCATGCTCTACCAACTGAGCTACCTCCCTGCCGGCCATTCCCTCCCCTACCCTGGACGATGCTGGGCCAAATGTGCGCCGTCCCATTGGTCTCCGGTTGCGGCCGGCTACAGCAGAGCCTGGATTCGAACCAGGATCTCTAGTGGCACAGCTAGCACTGCGATGCAGTGCCTTAGACCACTGCGCCACTCTACACCTTCTGTATCCTGTGCATGTGACAAATAAACTTAGATTTTATTTTATATAGTGTGTGTTTACCAGAGACGGTAATGTGAAGAACAACATGACCTGCACCAAAGTCAGATTAGGATATAACGTTAGGCCAATGAGACAGTGTCCAAGTTCTAGAATTCTCTGGTAGAACACCCTGCTTTTATTTCATCACACTCACAACCGGAAGCTATTTTTTGTAATTAGTTTTCATTAACTTGTAAATAATTATATTGTTGTGAGTTTATTTTCCTGTAATAATGAATACAAATTAGCTAAAGTTAAGACGTTGTCAGCTACATGATATGGTCATTACTTGAACTGGCTAACCAGTTGACTTAACGTTAGCTAGCTAGCTAACAAGCAAGAAACAAACCAAAACAGTGTTAAGAAAGTTGCTTTTAGTTGTCTGGTTTGCTAGATTGACATATACTAAATTAACTTTTAAACAGATGGGTTTATTGGTGTTAAAATACCCAGTTATGCTATTTTGGACCACCAGGCTGCTGATGTCATAAAGTCTGTCGTTTTTCTATTCATACTTTTTCATAACGACAATGACAAGTTTAACATCGGACGACAATAGAATGTTCATGTCGATAGACGGAGTATAAACCAGCCTTTAGTCTTGGAATCCTTGGTTGTTTAGAACACTACCGTACTCACTCTTTTTAGCACATGGCCTCACATGTGAATCCTTAAAGAGATGGGTGGGGCTAACATTTAAACGGGTGTGAACGATGCTGAATGGGTGTAGACAAAGAAGAGCTCTCCAATGGGTGTACCAAAACAATCAAAGGCCATTTTCTCAAAAGTGGGGTTACAAGTTTATCAACTTTCAAAGCAGAATTACTTTCCCATTGTTCCTCAACTGTAGTGTATGATATACAATTTTCTAGCTCAGAGTCGCTACTTTTTTTTTTCAAATGTTGCTACATAAGACCGAATCGAGCCGGTCGGTCACGTATACATTATCGGCAGGTTATTTGTAACGGTGGGCTCTGTTAGGTAAAACAGACTAATCTGGAACATATTTGGTTATACTTTTTTGTCATTGAGGAGAGGAAGAAAGGTAGGGATAGTTTCAGAGTTTCTCAAATGGTTGTTCTGGACCCATTAGTAGTTATCACCAATGTCTACTGGTTTGTGGCTAAGATGTAGACACCTACAAAACAACACACACAAAGTCTTACTCTCATAGCGGATGCGGAAGCCGATGTCCGAGTGGCTCTTGTCGGTGGAAAAGAGAAGGAACAGGAAGTTGGAGGTGCTGATGAGGAACTGGGGCACCTGGGTACCCTGGTAACTACCAATCAGAGGCGAGGAGGGGAACCGGCCGTCACGCACCTCCAGCACGTCATAGTTTACCTCAGTGCGAAACCTGGGGGAACAACCAATGGGTTAACAGGAATCTGGGGGGAACAACCAATGGGTTAACAGGAATCTGGGGGAACAACCAATGGGTAAACAGGGATCTGAGGGAACAACCAATGGGTTAACAGGAATCTGAGGGAACAACCAATGGGTGAACAGGAATCTGAGTATTAGATAATTAGACATTTTAATAGAATTATAATAGAATACTATTAGAGCTAGATACACAAACTAATAGTATAATAGAGAAAACATCTGGATTCATATTTAGAAGCAATGTGGAAAGCAGCATAATTTTTTTGTTTTGGAAGAATATGTTGTGCTTAAATTGAAAGCATCCTGAAGTGAGGTGAAAGAGCTACAGAGGAGATAGAGGAAATAATGTAGGACAAGATGGAAAAGAGAGAGAGGCAGAATGAAGGACAATAAAGGAAGAGAGGTAGACAGGAAGAGAGGTAGACATGAAGAGAGGTAGACAGGAAGAGAGGTAGACAGGAAGAGAGGTAGACAGGAAGAGAGGTAGACAGGAAGAGAGGTAGACATGAAGAGAGGTAGACAGGAAGAGAGGTAGACAGGAAGAGAGGTAGACAGGAAGAGAGGCAGACAGGAAGAGAGGTAGACATGAAGAGAGGTAGACAGGAAGAGAGGTAGACAGGAAGAGAGGTAGACAGGAAGAGAGGCAGACAGGAAGAGAGGTAGACAGGAAGAGAGGCAGACAGGAAGAGAGGTAGACATGAAGAGAGGTAGACAGGAAGAGAGGTAGACAGGAAGAGAGGTAGACAGGAAGAGAGGCAGACAGGAAGAGAGGTAGACAGGAAGAGATGTAGACAGGAAGAGAGGTAGACAGGAAGAGAGGTAGACAGGAAGAGCCCAGTGTTGTGTCCTGACTCACTTATCAAAGATGATCTTGATGGGGTATCCTGGCGGAGCCTCGATGACCCACTCACAGTTAAGGGCCTCCTTATAGAGCTCTGGCCAACCAGGGGACAGGATGATACCACTAGGAGCCTTCAGATCACCCCCACACGGAGCTGAGGAACATGGGAGGAGAATAGGTGGGGGGGGGGGGGGCGGGGGGTGGAGAGGAAGAGGAAGAGGAAGAGGAAAGAGGAGGGGAGTGGGAGAGGAGGAGAGGAGAGAGGGGAGAGATGAGGGGGGGAGAGGAGGGGAGATGGAGAGATTGGGGGGGGAGAGGAGGGAGAGGGTGAAGGGGGGGGAGAAGGATTGAGAGAGATGAAAGGGAAGAGAGGGAGAGGTGGAGACAGAGACAGAGGGCATATTATACAGTACATCTCAGTCATGGATGTGTCCACTGTGTTCACTGAGTCCACTGTGTTCAATGCGTCCACTGTCATGTCATGGAAATGGTTGACCATTACTGGCGCTCAAGGCCAAACATTACTTCAGAGACTGAGTGGGTGGGTGGCAGGAAAGGGGAGGTGGAAGGGGGAGGGTGGAAGGGGGAGGGTGGAAGGGGAGGGTGGAAGGGGGAGGGTGGAAGGGGGGAGGCAAGTGTGTGTATGTGGGTGCGTTTGTGTGTGTTTGTGTGTGTGTGTGTGGGGTGTGTGTGTGTGTGTGTGTGTTCTAGCAAATGTGCAAATGTCCTTGATTAACATAAATCACACTGAACAGAAAACCACTTTGATCAATACACAATGGTATATGATATGAGACATGCCTGCTTGCTAATGTGCCCATGTCAATTTTTCTAAATGTCATTGAATAACATAAATCTGTGCCAACAACACTAAGCTGACATAGTGGCATACTGTATATATTACCTTAATTAAACATAAACCACTTAGATCACCCCACAACAGACAACATGTTCAAACATATGTACATCTCTGTGTGAGAGAGATAAGGTTTCAGTTGGAGTGTCTTTTAGGTGGTCCCCCCTAAGAACCTGGACGGACGGACGGACGGACGGACGGACGGACGGACGGACGGACGGACAGACAGACAGACAGACAGACAGACAGACAGACAGACAGACAGACAGACAGACAGACAGACAGACAGACAGACAGACAGACAGACAGACAGACAGACAGACAGACAGACAGACAGACAGACAGACAGACAGACAGACAGACACTTTCTGCCATTGTCACTGTAATAACATCCTAACCAATAACAAGTTATTACTGCCAATCAGGCTGATTATACAGGTATACAAAGTATTATGCCAATCAGGCGATTATACAGGTATACAACGTTATTACTCGCCAATCAGTGACTATGATTATACAGGTATACAAGATTTTTTTTTCATTAGTGGCCAATCAGGCTGATTATACAGGTATCTAGTTATTACTACTTAGTTACTTACTGGCCAATCAGGCTGATTATATAACCGGTATACAAGTTATACTGCCAATCAGGCTGATTATACAGGTATACAAGGTTATTACCTGCCAATCAGGCTGATTATACAGGTATACAAGTTATTAGTGCCAATCAGGCTGATTATACAGGTATACAAGATTATTACTCGCCCAATCAGGCTGATTATACATCGGTTACACAAGTTATAGTGCCAATCAGGCTGATTCAGTATCACGGTTTATACACTGTCTGTTACTGCCAATCAGGCTGATTATCCAGGGTCTAACCAAGTTATTACTGTCCAATTCAGGCTGGCTTTATACATGGTATACAAGTTATTCGTGCCAATCAGGGCTGATTATACAGGTATGACCAAAGTTTATTATTGGCCCAAATCAGGTGATTATACAGGTATACAAGTTATACTGCCAATCAGGCGATTATACAGGATACACGTTATACTGCTAATCAGGCTGATTATACAGGTATACAAGTATTACTGCCAATCAGGCTGATTATACAGGTATACACGTTCTTACTGCCAATCAGGCTGATATACAGGTATACACGTTATTACTGCACAATCAGGCTGATTATACAGGTATACAAGTTATTATGCCAATCAGGCTGATTATACAGGTATACAAGTTATTAGTTGCCAATCAGGCTGATTATTACAGGTATAAACGTTTATTACTGCCAATCAGGCTGATTATACAGGTTATAACAGTTATTTACTGCCAATCAGGCTGATTCTACAGGTATACAAGGTATTAGTGCCAATCAGGCTGATTATCCAGGTATTACAAGTTATTAGTGCCACTCAGGTGAATTATACAGGTATACAAGTTTATTACATGCCAATCAGGCTGGATTATCACAGGTATAACACGTTATTACTGCTTAATCAGGCTGATTATACAGTGTATACATTAAAATTACTGCCAATCAGGCTGATTATACAGGTATACACGTTCTTACTGCCAATCAGGCTGATTATACAGGTATCCCACGTTATTACTGCCAATCAGGCTGATTATACAGGTATACAAGTTATTACTGCCAATCAGGCTGATTATACAGGTATACACGTTATTACTGCTAATCAGGCTGATTATACAGGTATACAAGTTATTACTGCCAATCAGGCTGATTATACAGGTATACACGTTATTACTGCCAATCAGGCTGATTATACAGGTATACACGTTATTACTGCTAATCAGGCTGATTATACAGGTATACAAGTTATTACTGCCAATCAGGCTGATTATACAGTATCAAGTTATTACTGCCAATCAGGCTGATTATACATGTAAAACAATTTTATTACTGCCAATCAGGCTGATTATACAGGTATACAAGTTATTACTGCCAATCAGGCTGATTATACAGGTATACAAGTTATTACTGCCAATCAGGCTGATTATACAGGTATACAAGTTATTACTGCCAATCAGGCTGATTATACAGGTATACACGTTATTACTACTAATTGGTTAAAAATACAGGTATCAACGGCTCATTGAATTATTTTGACATATTTCATGATGTTATATTACGTTAATTTCCTTATGTTTCTACATAACACAATCTTTTGCACCACAAAAATTGAGTGGAATTAGATTTTTCTTCAGATTGTTAATATAAAAGTTGACTCTCATCACGAACACATTAAATCGACTTCTTTAAACAGATTAATATATTTGGTTTGGTGTTGTTGATTTTGTTATACCCGCCTGTCCGTTGCAGGATTCAGAACGCCATTATCATTTTTAAGCTCAAATGGCACATAAAATCTGGGGCGCTCTCTGTATAAAATATGCTGGCTACACACCAATACATCGATTTGAGAATCAAACTCACTTAAATAACAGCCAACCCTTGTCAGTGTTGATATCCTTCAGTATGCATAGTACAGTTTGGAGCTTTCTCTTGAGAGGGCAGCCTGATGAAAGCCAGTCAATATTTAAATCACCCAGAAAGGTTGTCCTCTAACCAGTGATGTAAAATTATCTCACGCTTCCATGTGGTTTTTGAGTTGTGGTAGATTCAAACAGCGCACACAACCTGATTTCCCCCCTAATCGATATCAGTGATTTATTTCCACTTGTCAAAACAACAGGGTTTTTGGTGATTGTGCAGTTAATAAGATGCTCGTTCAAAAAATAAAAATAAATATGATTAGCTGTCATCAAGGCAAAGGTTGGCTACTTTGAATAATCAAAATCGAAAATATAATTTGATTTGTTTAACACTTTTTGGGTTACTACATGATTCCACATGTGTTATTTCATAGTTTTGATGTCTTCACTATTATTCTACAATGTAGAAAATAGTAAAAATAAAGAAAAACCCTTGAATGAGTAGGTGTGTCTAAACTTTTGACTGGCACTGTAAGTATTCACACCCCTTTGCTATGACACTCCAAACTGAGCTCAGGTGCATCCAATTTCCTTTGCTCATCCTTGAGATGTCACCACAACTTGAATGGAGTCCACCTGTGGCCAATTCAATTGTTTGGACACGATTCAGGAAAAAAAGAAAACATCTTCAGAGCAGAAACTATACCATGAAGTCCAAGGAACTGTCCGTAGAGCTCCCAGATATATAATTGTGATGAGGCACATATCTGGGGAAGGGTATAAAACTATTTCTAGAGTGTTGAACGTTTCCAAGAGCACAGTGGTCTCCATCATTAGGAAATGGAAAAAAAATATGGAACTACCCAGACTCTGCCTAGAGCTGGCCGTCCGACTAAACTGAGCAACCGGGCAAGAAGGACCTTGGTCAGGGAGGTGACCAAGAACCCATTGACCACTCTGACAGAACTACAGAGTTCCTCGGCTAAGATGGGAGAACCTGCCAGAAGCACAACTGTCTACAGCACTTCACCAATCTGGACTTTATGGGTGAGTGGCCAGACGGAAGTCACTCTTGAGAAAAAGGCACATGACAGCTCGCCTGGAGTTCGCAAAAAGGCACGTGAAAGACTCTGAGATCATAAGGCAAAAGATTTTGTGGTCTGATGAGACAAAAACGTAACTATTTGGCCGGAATGCAAAGCGCTATGTCTGGAGAAAACCAGGCACAGCTTATCACCCGTCTAACACCATCCATACCGTGAAGCATGGTGGTGGCTGCATCATGCTATGGGGATGCTTTTAAGCAGCAGGGACTGGGAGACTGGTAAGGATAGAGGGAACAATGAATGGAACCAAATACAGGCAAATTCTTAACGAGAACCTACATCAGAGAGCAAACGACCTTAGACTGGGAACGAAGATTTACTCTCCAATGGGACAATGACCCCAAGCACACAGCCAAAGCAACGCTGGAATGGCTTCAGAAAAATTAAGTGAAGGTCCTTGAGTGGCCCAGCCAAAGCCCAGACTTGAATCCCATTGAAAATGTGTGGAAAGACTTGAAGATTGCTGTTCACTGGCGCTCCACATCTAACTTAACAGAGCATGAGAAAATATGTAAGGAAGAATGGGAAAAAATCCCCAAATATATAGACATACCCAAGATAACTCAAATCTGTAATCGCCGCCAAAGGTGCTTCTACAAAGTATTGACTCAGTGGTGGGAATACTTATGTAAATTAGATATTTTCAATGCATTTGCAAAAATGTCTAAAAACACGTTTTCACTTTGTCATTTTGGGGTATTGTGTGTAGATAATAATACATCCTATTTAAACCATTTTGAATTCAGGCTGTAACATAACAAAATGTGGAATAATTCAAGGGGTATGAATACTTTCTGAAGGCACTGTATGTTTAGGCTTTCAAGATGTCACAAACTGTTTCTGCATATTGGTTATTGATTTGGACACGTTAAAACTGTGTTTTGACACTGGGCTATTTCTCAAAATGTCTTGTCAACAGGATGCAGCGACAGCATAATTTTCAACTTTAGGAATATTAATTGAACTTTCAACCTTCATTTCCAATGGTATTGTACCTAATCAGGTAAAATTGCTAAATGAGTCCAAACACATGCTGTGATTTAGTTATTTTGATGATATACCAGAAATCACCTGAACAGGTTTGCCTACTCTTAGGAGAAACTAGCACTAAGCTAACTACCTTATATTAATGTAACTATGTATCACCTCTTAGGCAGGGTTTTCCGTTAGGAAAGTGTGATACTGGACATTTTATAAATTTACCCGACCCATATGCACTGATTAGGGCGTCTACTCACAGTGTTCTGAATGACAGAAATCACATTTAGATGATGGTTATTCATTTCAACAGAACATGCAACTCGAAGATGCAACAGGGTATGTCCTTCTTACCAAATTCCGATGCACACTTTGAAGATGTTAGAATAGCTTTCCACATGCATTTTTCCTCAGCCAACAGTAACGAACCGCAAAACCACTAGCCTACGTCAATCTACCTATTCCATTAGTCAGCTTGTCGTTCTGTGCGAGAAACAAATAGCCTATTCCAAAACAATTTCAAATTTAAATTCATACAACTTTTTTTTTAAAGCAATGACGCTGACGCAACAGTTCAGAACGTTTAGCTTAAAATGTTGATAAACTATTATTTATTCACATTATAAGCACAGCAATGTGCACAAGGCAGTAGGCTACGTGCGGGAATATTTGGTAAACACCGTTGTCAAAAGCAGACCGCACAAGTGAGGGGTTTCATGTGACAGAGATTAAAATATCCATTAGACATTTAGAAAGAGAGGAGATCTAAAGATGCAACAACTAGCATGGGTTGCTAATATGAATAGGATTGTGCCTTTGGCTACTGGACAATGCAAGAAAGTTGATTTGAAAACCAATAGAACGTGAGAGAAATAGGCCAGTGAGAAATAGGCTACTTTGAAGCAAGGTATGACATGCCTCATAATATGAAGTAAAATGTTCAGGTTTCAAACAATTAAGTATGTTTTCAAAATGCATATGCTACTGCCTCCAGTTCATTGCAAAGTGGTGTGTGATGCGCTGAAGCCTGTCTACCATTGTCTGTCCACTTGAATGGTGAATGGGAAACACGCTTCAATTACCAGTTGAGAAATAATTAGTAGCTATTTTTTAATCGTGGCCATCAAAAATTTGTTTTTAACACGCGATTGGATTTAGAATTGTTGCACAATGATTGGGCTTATAAAAGCACGTTTCACTCCAGCAGCAATGAACAAGCTGTTTGAGGAGCGTAGCAGCAGTAAATTAACAAAGTGTTTTGAAGGAACTGCAGCAGCAGTAAATGAACAGCTGTTTGAGGAGCTGCAGGCAGCAGTAATGAACAAGCTGTTTGAGGAGCTGCAGCAGCAGTAATGAACAAGCTGTTTTGAGGAGCTGCAGTAGCAGTAATGAACAAGCTGTTTAAGAACTGCACAGCTAGGAACTGCAGCAGCAGCAATGAACAAGCTGTTTTGAGGAGCTGCAGCAGCAGCAAATGAACAAGCTGTTTTGAGGAGCTGCAGCAGCAGTAATGAACAAGCTGTTTTGAGGAACTGCAGCAGCAGTAATGAACAAGCTGTTTGATGAGCTGCAGCAGCAGCAATGAACAAGCTGTTTGAGGAGCTGCAGCGCAGTATGAACAAGCTGTTTGAGGAGCTGTAGCAGCAGCAATGAACCAAGCTGTTTTGAGGAGCTGTAGCAGCAGTAATGAACAAGCTGTTTGAGGAGCTGCAGCAGCAGAAATGAACAAGCTGTTTGAGGAGCTGCAGCAGCAGCAATGAACCAAGTTGTTTTGAGGAACTGCAGCAGCAGCAATGAACAAGCTGTTTTGAGGAGCTGCAGCAGCAGTAATGAACAAGCTGTTTGAGGACGCTGCAGCAGCAGCAATGAACCAAGCTGTTTGAGGACCTGCAGCAGCAGCAATGAACAAGCTGTTTGAGGAGCTGCAGCAGCAGCAATGAACAAGCTGTTTGAGGACCTGCAGCAGCAGTAATGAACAAGCTGTTTGAGGACCTGCAGCAGCAGCAATGAACAAGCTGTTTGAGGACCTGCAGCAGCAGCAATGAACAAGCTGTTTGAGGAGCTGCAGCAGCAGCAATGAACAAGCTGTTTGAGGACCTGCAGCAGCAGTAATGAACAAGCTGTTTGAGGAGCTGCAGCAGCAGTAATGAACAAGCTGTTTGAGGAGCTGCAGCAGCAGTAATGAACAAGCTGTTTGAGGAACTGCAGCAGCAGTAATGAACAAGCTGTTTGAGGAGCTGTAGCAGCAGTAATGAACAAGCTGTTTGAGGAGCTGCAGCAGCAGTAATGAACAAGCTGTTTGAGGAGCTGTAGCAGCAGTAATGAACAAGCTGTTTGAGGAGCTGCAGCAGCAGTAATGAACAAGCTGTTTGAGGAGCTGTAGCAGCAGTAATGAACAAGCTGTTTGAGGAACTGCAGCAGCAGTTCTCACAATGTCTGACAGATTTTCAGATGAAAACAAAAAGACCCTAGTCTTTTCTTACTAGCACTGACTTTGCTGATAAATACTCTGTTAAGGGAAAATGTACTTGATACAGTTGTGATGTGTTGTTGTCTCACCTAGCTAGCTTAAGACAATGCAATTAATTGTAAGTTGCTCTGGATAAGAGCGTCTGCTAAACGAATGAAAAATGTTAAACGTACAGACAGAAAGATAAATGGAGAAAGATGAGGAAGCGTGTCTCCTTCACAGCGTGAGAGCAAAAATGGAGGAAAGAGGGATGGAATGACAGAAAGATGAAAAGAAAGCAAGAGTGATGGCCTGAAAGGAAGCCGCCCCTCCTCTCCTCTCTCACCTTCACAGCGAGGCACAGCGTTGTCCCAGACCACGTTTCCATCCTTCAGGATACAGGAGACAGTCTGGGAGCCATGGGTCTTCACGAAGCCCTCCTCACACAGGAAGGAGATGGAGCTGCCCAGCTGAAGGTTCTCACCAAACCGCTTCCCGTTCACTGGAACCCCCGGGTCCGGACACTCATTGTGGCGGAACGCTAGGGAGAGAGAGAGAGAGAGAGAGAGAGAGAGAGAGAGAGAGAGAGAGAGGGAGAGAGAGAGAGACCGAAGAGTAGAGAGTCGATATAGCTCCTAGACGAGAGAGCTAGTTTGCGAGCATAGCGGTCGCGATGATGGTCTACGTCATTTTCCGGGTCTGTTATTGAGTTGGAGTTGGGAGGAGTGTGTAGGTTGGAGGGTGGGCAGGTGTGTGTGTGTGTATATTAATGAGTGTGTGTGTGTACAGGTGTGTTTGTGCGTCTATGGTCATTAGAGAAAGAGCAAAATAAAACTGCCCTTGAAAACTTAAGGTGGCAAACTGCAGGATCCAGCTACGACCCACTGCTATGCTAGACTTTTCATTGGTTGGGCTAATGCTAATCTCTCACAGTGGAATTTAATTATTTGAGCACGTAAATAATTGAGCAACTTTCTCCAATAAACTTTTCTGCTATCGTTCTGTTCGGTAATAGACACATTTGTTTTACTTAGAGAGAGAGAGAGAGAGAGAGAGAGAGAGAGACGAGAAGAGAGCGAGAAGAAGAGAGATAGATAGAGAGCAGACAGAGAGAGAGAAAGAGAAGCCAAAAGAATAAGAGAGAGATAGCGATGAGATCAATCCTGATCGACGCAACGCGCTCTGATCCTCGTAGCTCTCAGATAGTCACCTCAGCAGATGATATAGAGCAGACCTCAGGATCTCATAGAGATAGATCCTGAATACAGAGAAGAGAGACAGAGATATAGAAGAGATAGAGAGAGAGATGAGATAGACGATAAGAAACAAGCTAGTCATCATATTGTACTTATGCATGCTTAGCGAAGCATCGGTGAGATAAGTACAGAGATAGACTATACCTGATGTCCTGAGAGAGATGCGCAGTTGGACACCTGCCTCACTATCTAACAGTACCTGATCTGTTACATGGACTACCTGTCTAGTTACAGAGCTACTGTTAATAAGTAGCTACTCTTCATTCTACTTCTGTTATGATACCTTCTATACATACTACTTCTGTCTTCATGACTACCTTCTGTTCATATAGTAGAGAACAATTGTTACACACATCACACTCCGGACATATCATCCTTATGTACTTATGCACTTCTATGGAAAATGCCGAGGAGCTATGTCGAGAGATGAGAACTGATTACCGGATGGTCTCCTTGGAGATGGATTTGGCCCGTCGTGCGACACCTGCCCTCATGATCTAACGAGCTACCTGTCTGGTTACAGTGGAGCTACCTGTCTGGTTACAGTGGAGCTACCTGTCTGGTTACAGTGGAGCTACCTGTCCGGTTACATTGAGCTACCTGTCTGGTTACAGTGGAGCTACCTGTCTGGTTACAGTGGAGCTCCTGTCTGGTTACAGTGGAGCTACCTGTCTGGTTACAGTGGAGCTATCTGTCTGGTTACAGTGGAGCTACCTGTCTGGTTACAGTGGAGCTACCTGTCCTGGTTACAGTGGAGCTACCTGTCCTATTACAGTGAGCTACCTGTCTGGTTACAGTGGAGCTACCTGTCTGGTTACAGTGAGCTACCTGTCTGGTTACAGTGGAGCTACCTGTCTGGTTACAGTGGAGCTACCTCTCTGGTTACAGTGGAGCTACCTGTCCGGTTACAGTGGAGCTACCTGTCTGGTTACAGTGGAGCTACCTGTCCTGGATTACAGTGAGCTACCTTTTTGGTTACGGGGGAGCTACCTGTCGGTTCATGGAGCTACCTGTCTGGTTACAGTGGGCTCCTGCCCGGGGTTTTGGGGGAACCTGTCCGGGGGTAAGTGGAAAACCTGTCCTGGTTAAGTGGAGTACGTCGGTTAAGTGGAGTCCCCCTGCTGGTTACGGGAGCTACCTGCGGTTACAGGGAGTCCTTCCGGGGGTTTTTTTTCAGTGAGTCCTTTTTCCCGTGGAGCACCTTCGGTTACAGGGAGACCTTTTCCCCCGGTTACAGGGAACATTTTTTTTTTGGTGCTCTGGGAGGGTGCTTTTTGGGGTGGGCTGGGGGGGGGGGTGGGGGTTCGTGTGCTGGTGTCGGTTATATTTTGTTTTTTGGGGGGATAGGGTAATTAAATTTAGTAAAAATGGTTGTAGGGGGGGGAAAGATAAAAGGGGTACCGGAAAAAATTTTGGATAAAATTTTATTTTCGGGGGTTGGAAGGTTTTTTGTGAAAGTCTTTAGATTTTTTTTAATGTTAGTTTTAATTTATTGGGTTTTTTTTTTTCCCCAAATGGAGGGGAACGGTTAAGGCTGGGGAAAAATGTGAATTTTTGGGGGGGGGGGGGGGGGAAAAATGGGTTTTGGTGGATGCCAGGTGCAGAAAAACTAGAATGCCCAAATATAGAAAAATAATCAGATTGGTAAATTTTACTATGCGGACGGGGGTCCAGTTCTACGGGAAACGCCATGAAACCAGCCATGGAAACCAGCCATGGTACAAGCCAGGTAACTGACCATTGTCTACTGGTGCTCTACTATCTTCCCCATTGTTTCGATGCCTTTCAAAATCCGGGCTCCCCTAAAGTGCTGTTAAAAGGACCCATAGAAAAATAAAATTATTTCATAGTTTTTCTTTTGGAAAAGGGTTTGTAAAACACTACTCGGACTTTTAAAACAAAAGGGCCAGTTTGAAGTTATTGTGGAGGGGGGGCAACAGGTTTTTATGGGGAAACTGATCTGCACAGTTTTTTTTTTAATGCTGAATAATCCAAGGATGAATTGTCTCACATGATAGAGATAGGGTTTGAAGAGTTGGGGGGGTTTGGGGGGGGTTTTTGGGGGGGTTTTTGGGGAGGATGGAGGGGGTTTGGGGGTTTGGGGGGTTTTGGGGAGGGGTGGGGTTTGGGGGGGTTTTTTGGATTTTTGGGATGTTGGGTTTGGGGGTTTGGGGGGTTTTTAGGTTTATTAGATTAGAGGATTTATTTGTTTTTTTTAGAAAAATTTGGCAACCATGTTGATTGCACCCCACAAGTGGGGCCATGCCCTTAAAACGTTTTTTTGCAGACCGCCTTTATCCTTTAAAAAGAAATGATGATACTGCCAAATTTGCTGCCCCCCCCCACCCCCTGTCCCCGGCCCCCAATCGCACCCAGGACGCACGTAAAAAGGGACGAAAGGGGGAAAACTGACAACGCTATGCCCTAAATAAACAACCAACCAGATACCCCACCGCGGGGGGTGGCAGTGGCCATTTTAACTCCCCTCCCACATGGATATTTGTTTGTTGTGAATGTGTAACCCAAATGTTGTTTTGTAACCCAATGACTTTTTTTAAACCCAAAAATGATTTTTGAAACCCCAAATGTTTGTTTTGTACCCAAATGATTGTTTTGTAACCCAAATGACTGTTTTGTAACCCAAATGACTGTTTTGTAACCCAAATGACTGTTTTGTAACCTAAATGACTGTTTTGTAACCCAAATGACTGTTTTGTAACCCAAATGACTGTTTTGTAACCTAAATGACTGTTTTGTAACCCAAATGACTGTTTTGTAACCCAAATGACTGTTTTGAAGTAAACAAACTTGAACTTCCTAAAACATATTCTGTATTAACTGTTAAACATACAAACTCAACATATATTTACAACCAGGCAATCATACAAGCATGACCACAATCACACACAAGCAAACTCTCCCACAAAACCGCACCCACACCATCCACACACACCACACACACCACACACACACACACCATCCACACACCACACACACCACAGACACACACCATCCACACACCACACAAACACCACACACACCACACACACCATCCACACACCACACAAACACCACACACACACAACACACCACGCACACACCATCCCACACCCACCCACACACCACCCCCACACCACACAAACACACACACACACACCCATCCACACACCACACACACACCACACAAACACCACACACACACACCACACCACAGGGGTGACATGTTGTGGTTGATTAATTCCTCTTCAGTATTCTCTCCAGCCAGATGGGACTGGGAACACCATCCATCACTCTCATCTTATTTATTAAACTGCCAACAATCACCACCACACACACACACACACACACCATCCACACACCACACACACCACACACACACACACACACCCACCCACACCACCAACATCACCACCACACACCCACCCACCCACACCACACCACCAACAATCTCCTCAGTACAGTTTGGCAGCTGCTTAATTAACATGAATGATGGAATGAGTCCTTCCCTATACCCCCAGTGCCCCAAAAACAGAGAGGAGATGTGCCACTCGAAGGGAACTAGCTGTCGGCTTCAATTAACGGCTCTTTATGTTCATTCACAACATTGTTTCTTTATTTATTACATTCGCTAATTAATGCATTAACGTCCATGTGTTTTTCCCCAAATCGCAGGATTCGGCGAGCATTCTATCTCACGCAGTGCTGAATTAGAATGCGTCCCTAATGGCACCCTATAGTAACTATGTAGGGATGCAGTTTTTTAGTATTTACAGTCGGACAAAACCGACAAACACTCGCTAGGAACAGAACGCATTGTGGGTAGCTATATGAAATTGTTTTAAGAAGGTCACACCAAGGATCTTTTTGCTATTTGATTTGAATTTTAAGCCCTCTTAAGTGACAAACAAATTTGATTAAAAAAGTTTGATCGACAGCTATTAGCTATTATTACAAATCATTAATAACAACAAATCTAAAGGAAGTCGTTCTGAAATGTTTTCTGAAATTTTTTTTTTTTTATTTGTATTTTTTTTTATGTATTTTAACCCCCTTTTTTGTTGGAACTAAAAAATCTCTAAATACAGTAATTCCACATTTTTTTAATGTAAACGGGGACATTAACACTCTTGTGAGGCCTTGGGCGTCCAAAATCAAACCCCGCATGTACATGCCTTCGGGAAAATATTAACCCCCTTTTTTTTTTCCACAATTTGTTTCTTAGCCTTATTTTTAAAATGATTTAAAAGAAAAAAGAATAAAAAATCACACACAATCTCCATAAAAAAAGCAAAAAATTTTTAGAAAAAATGGGAAAGTTTACAAAAAAAAACGGGAAATTTCCTTTTTAATAAGTATTCGACCCTTTGCTATTAGACCGAAATTTAGTCAGGGCCCTGTTTTCCCTTTATCATCCTTTAGTGTTTTCTACAACTTGCTTGGGTCCCACCTGTGGGAAAACAATTGTTTTACATGATTTGGAACTGGGAACTAGTCAGGATCGAGGCAAAATGAAAGGCAAAATACAGAGAGATCCTTGATGAAACCTCTCCCGATCACCTCAGCCCCGGGTGAAGGTTTTTCCCCTTTCCCAAAAGACAAGACCCTAAGCCAAAAAGCCAAGCAACCCAGTGGTTCGGAAAAAGCTCCCGAAGTCCTTGAGTGGCCCAGCCCAAACCTGGGCTTGAAACCCCATCGAACATCTCTGGAGAGTCTGAAAAAACGTGGGAGCAAAAGCCCCCCATCCAACCTACAAGCTTTTAATATCTGCAAAAGAATGGGAGAAACTCCCCAAATAAGGTTACCCCGCTTGTAGCGTCTACCCAGAAACTTGAGGGTGTAAATTTCCTGCCCAAAAATGCTTTCCCAAAAAAGTACGGGGAAGGGGGCTGAATCTTATTAAATTTAATTTTCTTTTTTTTTTTTTTAATAAATTAGCAACATTTTTTAAAGCATTTTTACTTTGTCATTTTGGGGATTGTGTGTAAATTTTGAGGAAAAACAACAATTTCTAAAAAATGGGAAAATCAAGGGTCTGATACTTTCCGAACACGTACGTTTCCCCCCAAGCAAATGTTTTGGACCTCAAAGCAATTTGGCAGATTGGCTAAATACCAACTTTCTAAAATTCATGGTCTGACAAAAACCGCTCTAGCCGTCCCCTGCACTCGAACAAATGTGACATCGGTGTAAAAGCGGTGGATCGAGATGCATCCAATGCAACAAACAAAAAACCCCGGATTATCTATCTTAACTGAACTATTTAATTTGGGGGTCTTTTATTTTATGCTAATTAGATTTTCCCCGGTTTCGGACATCACTCTGGGGGTTAATACGTGGAATGTTAAAAAGGGGTGAATTTGTCTACTACAAATGCAAAAACTGTATGCCATGCACATATATTTGGGGTTTTCTTACTGTCTTTAGGGGGTCAAATTTTATTCAAAACCCCAAAAAAAAATATATATGTTCGGATATGCAAACATTTACGTTCCCTTTACATTGATTAATACTAGACCCCCGACAATTTTCTTTTGGGGTAAGGTGCATCCCGATTCCCCCCATCCAATCTCAACAATACCAACTCAAAAAATATTGAACAGAGCTGCCATCATGTCGGAGGTAGACAAATTTAACGAGGGCTATTTTAAAAAGAGATACCCGTCATGTCTGGAGGTAACAAATTTTCGAGGACGAATTTTTGAAATGGGGTCTTTGTCTAGTTTTGTATCCCCCGGTTGTTTGAAAAAGAAAAAGAGGAGGAAACTGAAGGAAAAAGAAAAAAACCGTCTGACAAAGACGAGGACGTATAGAGATGATTCATGGGGGTTTTGTTCCCCC